AAAAATTATCTCAATACCAGCTAGGGATGAGAGGCAGTAACAGACAGCTGCCCTGAGCGTACACCATGAGGTCCAGTTCCCTGACCTGCAAAGGGAGCATTGCAGGTGGAGAATGCACCCAGGATCTTAATACAATCATAGAAACACCAAGAATTCAATGGGGGAGAGAAGAAAACAGGAAGAAATGGAAAAGAGGAACCAGGCCATTAGAGAAGTCAAACTCCTCACAGAGGTGAGATTCTGACACTCGGTCTGAGCTGACCTCTACAATAAAGCCTCCATTTCCGTCTTGTGCTGTGATTCCTACTCCTGCCTGGTCCCTGTAGAGTTGCATCCTGACCTCTGTGAGGCTTTAACACCACACTCAAGTCGCCCCCATGGACAGAAGAGTTCTTCAACCCAAAGGCACCTAGTACACACCCTAGACTGTCCCACCTCATGGAGACAGTGTCTTCACCCTGCTCAGTCTGTGGCACCCACGAAAGGTCTATCTGAGGCATGGATACTCCCCTAAACCTGTCTGGGCTCTAACAGCCCAATTCTTCCTCACCCCAGCAAGGATTTCCTCATTCTCTTGAAAGTTACCGAGTTCCCACCTTGTGCTTTCCAGTCCCACACTCTGTACCTTACATAGTTCCTGAAAACCACTCCTGGTTTACCCTCTGTAAGGAACTTCCCCTCAGTCTGCTGAGTCTCCTGACCCCAACCTGACTTTCAGCTAACACTGCACTGGGGCCCAACCTCACCTCCTCAAGTGCTGAGGTGTCACACCAGGCTGGCCTTGAGGACCCTCTGCTCACTCACTCATTCAGGGTTCTGACATCCACAAGAAGGGGCCTCACATGGATGCCTTCTCCCCCTGCTTGAGCTCAAAGGCTCTACCTGCCCACTCTCAGACATATTCCTATTTAACCCCTTTATAACACTACATTCAATTGCTCCATCAGGTCCAGCTGAGGCTATGCAAGAGACAGAAAGCCAAGTTTCAGTATCTGACCCCAGACACTCACAGGGATGCTTGGAAATACTGGCTATTCTGCAAAATGGGCAAATGAGTTGCACACGAAGGCCCTACATTGCAGAAGCCTCTCCAATGCACAGCAGTTCAACTATTTGGACACCGGTGCACAAGTAATAACAGTCTGTCTGAGCAAACATTTCTTAGAACTCCAGTAACAGAAAAGGAAAGCCTGGACCAGCCCCTCCCACAGATTTTTTCCAGAGAAGTAGGTCTAGGAGCTCAGAAACTCAACAGTGCCACTGTCCTAGCCTTCCCTTGGAGGCTTGTCCTTTCCCCTGGGTTTAATCTAGCAAGTGTCAGGGCTAAAACAGGACATCATCTGCAGTTAAACCCAAGCTCCGAATAGTTCAGCCAGATGTAGCAGCACACACGCACACACACACACACACACACACACACACACACACACACACACACACACACACACCAGAAACAGCTACTGTGGGCTGTGGGGAGGCATAGGCTCCATGTGACAGGAGACTGGGCTCCTGGGATGGGCTCAGGTGATCAGAATCCTCCTGGCTCGTGACCCCTTCCCTCCAAGAACACAAACAGATCCTCTCTGGTCCACAGAGAAACTTCCCTGCCCTGGCATTGTGGGAACTGTCCAGGAAAGGCTGGATTAAAACAATTCCCTGTTGCCCCAGTGTGGTTTAAATTACAGACCACAGGCAGCTCCTCTCCTGACACCTCTGCTCCACTTCTGAACCAAAAGTGACACTTGTTTCCCATTACTTGGGCAGCACCTGATCCCAGCACTCAAGACCAGAGCAGGACGATCATGATATTAAGGGGTGTTTGGTACATTAGAAATGGTTCAACTATGTAGAAGTAGAAGGTGATTGGATGTGCTTTGCACAATCTTAGTTCGAAACATGTAATACAATTAAAAACTTGTTTCAGTTGAGGAGCTGATGAATTACCCAAACCCTGGGGCTTAAAGTAATAGCCGATTCAGTGTTTCTTACAGGACCATTCATTGACCTGGGCTCACCTGGGGAGTTTTCAGTTTACTATCACCCTGCAAACACAGACCTTATTTAATTTTGTGACATATCTGTGTATTTAAAAATGCTCTGAGAAAATTAAAGAGCACATTATATACAGAGTAGCATGAAGCCATCCAGCACTGAGTACTAAGGATATGCTGCAGTTCAAGTTCACTCTATTGTGCAGTCAGGAGCTTAGTGAAGTGGACCTTTCTGCCTCCTCCACCTCATCTCTGTGGTAGAAACAGTAATATGGAAAGTTCACTTTAAACAAAGTAAAAGTCCCCCAGACGTCAGGCTGTGATGGCGCACACCTTTAAAACCAGCACTTGGGAGACAGATGACTGAGTTCGAGTCCAGACTGGTCTACAGAGCAAATTCTGGGACAGCCAGGTTTGCACAGTAACCTTGTCTAAGGAAGAAAATAAAAAGTCCCCCCAGAATTATTGTGCAACTTCTTCTCTGGGAAGTGAACTTGCAAATCTGAAACACATGAAACTGAAACCTGCATAGAAAGAACTTGAGTTTGATTGTGGTCAGGAAATGAGCAGCTAATGAAAGGCACAGCTGCAGGAACTCTGGGGACACACTGGGATGGCCAGGTGTAGATAAGATCCCACTTCTGTGTAGAATCTACACAAGTAAATCTCACAGGAAGCAAGTCAATAGCAATTTCAAGGAACTGAGTGTTGGGAGAAATAGGATGATGATGCTGAACTGAAAATTCAGATCCGAGAGAAGTTCTGGAGACCAGTGTGCACCGTGGTGACAGCAGTCAATAGTGTTACAGCGTGACAGGAATTTGTTTAGGAAGACCTTAAGTGTTCTTACTGCACAAACACAAATAAATGGCCACTGCCCTCAGTAATGCATGTGTTAGCTAACCTGTAATCATTTCCTAGTATATACGTACATCAGATCAGCACATCGGTATCTTAAGCATACAGAAGTTTATTTGTCAGTTATACATCAACAAAGCCAAAGACAGACAAACGGCAGACAGGGGCAGAACCACAGCATCCAGTCAGTGAGTAAAACCTTAGCATCAGACAGACCTTGGCAGAGAGACACAAGTGCTTTATTTTTATTTTTATTTTTATTTTTATTTTTATTTTTATTTTTATTTTATATAAGATATTTTCTAATCATTTTACATATCAGCAACAAATTCCCCTGTCCTTCCTCTTCCCACCCCCAGCCTTCTGCCCCAATTCACCCCCCATTCCCACCTCCTCCAAGGCAAGGTCTTCCCTGGGGAGTCAGCCCAGCCTGGTAGATTCAGTTGAGGCAGGTCCAGTCCCCTCCTCCCTACACCAAGGCTGAGTAAAGTGTCACAGCATAGGCCCTAAGTTCCAAAAAGCACCAAGGACAGGTCCTGGTCACACTGTCTGGGGCCTCCTGAATAGTTCAAGCTAATCAACTATCTCACTTATCCAGAGGGCCTAGTTAAGTACCATGGGGGCTCCTTAGCTATTGGTTCACAGTTCCTGTGTTTCCACTAGTTTGACTATTTGTCCCTGTGCTTTTTCCAATCATGGTCTCAGTATCGCTTGTTCATATAATCCCTCCTCTCTCTCGCTGATTGGACTCCTGGAGCTCCATCTGGGACTTGGCTGTGGATGTCTGCATCTGCTTCCATCAGTCATTGGATGAGAGTTCTATCATGACAGTTAGGGTGTTCGGCTATCCAATCACCTGAGTAGGTCAGCTCAGGCTTTCTCTCGACCATTGCCAGTAGTCTATTGTGGAGGTATCTTTGTGGATTTCTGGGGGCCTCTCTAGCATTCTGCTTCTTCCTATTCCCATGGAGTCTTCATTTATCATGGTATCTCTTTCCTTGTTCTCCCACTCTGTTCCTGGTCCAGCTGGGATCTCCCGCTCCACTAAGCTCTCTATACCACTCTTGGGCATATACCTAAGGAATGCTCAATCATACCACAAGGACACATGCTCAACTATGTTCACAGCAGCATTATTTGTAATAGCCAGAACCTGGAAACAACCTAGATGCCCTTCAACTGAAGAATGGATAAAGAAAATGTGGTACATATACACAGTGGAATGCTACTCAGCAGAGAAAAACAATGACATCATGAGGTTTGCAGGCAAATGGATGGAACTAGAAAAAATCACCCTGAGTGAGGTAACCCAGACTCAGAAAGACAAACATGGTATGTACTCACTCGTAAGTGGATACTGGATGTAAAGCAGAGGATAACCAGACTGCAACTGACAATTCCAGGGATGCTACCTACTAAAGAGGACCCTAAGAAAGACACAGGGATCACCCAATGACAGAGAAATGGATGAGATCTACATGAGCTAACTGGGGGTGGGGTAGTAGAGGGCAAGAGTCGGGGGACAGAGAGACACAAGTGCTTTCTGTGTGTGCACAAAAGGCTCTCTAGCATAGTGGCTGGCGGGGAGAAAATGCTTCCTTTATGAATGAGAAAATGGATGAATGAGGACTAACGTGAGCCAATGTTCTCATAAATGGAAGAGTCTCTGACCCTGCTGCCTAAAATTCTGCAGACATGGAGAATTTACTAGAGTCTGGGTGCAGTGTCAAATGCCTTTAATCCCAGCACTGGGGAAGGAAAGACATGAGGATCTTTGTGAGTATGAGACCAGCCTGGTCTACATAGTGAGTTCTAGGACAGCCAGATCTACATAGTGAGAC